TATAGAATCATTAATTACGTATACAAACCTTAAAAAAAACGTATCATTTCCTTATTTCGATTTCTTATAGGGTATAATCGCCTGACAGTTCTATACTACATCTTAATTGCATATATATATTGGGTAAATGCATTATGAATTAATACAAAAAATCTATCATTTCTCTGAAACCAAAAATACTTTTATATCCATAAACCAGCTTTACCTGTAACTGCAGTCAAGTGCATATTTTTTCGCAGGTACAAACTCACATATATAAAAACCATGTCTTCACAAGCTTCTTCATCCACTTCAACCGCCTCAATAACGGAAGAAATTTCCACTAGAACAATGTCAGATATAGTTAAGGATTTTAATACAGAGGAGCTTATCTAATATTTGAAGAGGAAAGACCTGAAGCTCAAGAAGTCTCACTTTAAAATTTTACGTAAGAAAGAAATTGCCGGCTCTGACTTTCTTGAATTAACAGAAGAAAAATTCTGTAGCATTGGTTTTGCGTTAGGCCCAGTAATAAGACTTACGAAATTCATTGAGAGTCTTAGCCAGAAATTACGAAACTATTCCTTGTTTAAAACTCTCGACAACCTGAAAGAAATGTTACGTAGAAATAAGGTCAATGGGGAAGATATAACAAACATCAAGCAGTTTACTCCTGGTAGGTAATTAATTATTTTTCGAAACTGACTAGATAGCTATATTAACTTAATTTTTCTCTGCAGTCTTCGAGAAGATTAATGATAATGATAAGGCGCTCAATTATTATATTGATGATATTATCTTAAAACTTTTGAATGTGGAGACTATGACTGACGCCAACGAAGTAACACATTGCAAATTTATTTTATCGATTCTTCATGCATTCATTGCTATAGCTAAAAATCTTACCTCTTAAGATATATTCATAGTTTTACAAAAGGACATTTCTGGTGAAGATGCAACGGACTGAGTAGACTATGCGATTAAAAGTTTGGAAGACCTCCTATGTGTTGCTGAGGGGAAACCACGTAATATTAAGATTGGATATGCCCAAGTAGGTCTACTACTCAGATTATGTTTTGGAGATTCAATAGTATTAACACATTTTATCTCTTAGAATCTGGTGCAACTTGAGAGTGCATTTCAGACAAATAAAAAGAAACGGACTGCGGATCAGGCATTTGGAAATGATTATTTTGATTACATCTATGGTATTGTGACTACGGGTACAGAGTGGCATTTTATCATATACACTCAAGATGGTATTTATTCTACAAGTGCTAGTGAGCATCAGATTAATCTTACAAAGTCCGCCGTTAAAGAAAATCCTGAAATACTTCGAAGTAATGTGAAAAGGATAATTGGTATTATTGTTGGGTTATTAAAGGATCAGGTTAGTGTAGATAATTCCCCAACTTAGGATCAAAAAGTATATTAAAACATAATATGTAGAGTGGGCTACGTCCCGAACCTTTATATTTATTTTTTGCATATATTAATAAAAATTGTCTTGGCAAATTTCAGCGAACTCAGTTCGCCCAAAATCCCATATTTTTTAATTTAAATGTTTATGTACAGTGTATTAGTTATATATATATAGATCATGTCATCTGAGCTTGAATTATCGAAACAGCATATCATTAAACTTGAGGCTGAGAATTCCGGTCTTAAAAACAAGCTTTCAGTGTCTAATGCTGAAATAGCTGAACTTAAGCGCAGTAATATCGAGTTTCTAAAAGTGAATGCAGAACATTTTTTATTTCATAAATAAAGTATTATTTTATCGAACGTATATGAGAAATGGGTCACGTGTAATGATGCAATACCTGTGTGACATAAAACTTATATTAACGCCCAGTATTCTCTTTCCTGAACATAAATAAATTTTATCTCATTCTGAAACGTAACACTATTTTTTGTCTGAGCCAAATATCCTTATAAAAACGTAACGCTATGTCTGTCTCTGAAACTAACACACCAGCTTCTACTTCCACCTCTGTTACTGCAACTGGGAATGAGAGGCTCATGTTAGCGGACGAAGTTAAAAAATATGATACTAAAGGCCTTATCTCTTTTTTTCAGGGACGGGAATTAGGACTTGACGAGGATGATAAGAAAATACTTCGCAATGAGAAGATTAAGGGTTCGAACTTCCTTGACATGACCAAGCAAGATTTTCAAGAGTATGGCATGAAAGGAGGATCTGCTATGACCCTTGTGAAGTTCGCTAAAGAGTGTAAAGATAAAAAGTTGAGGTCGTTCTCCTCATATAAGACTAAGAAAGAATTGGGTGAGGTGTTGCGTAAGTATGGAATCGATAATAATGATATAAAAACGATTTCTCCATTTGTACCAGAGTCTGTGAAAATCGATGAGGCCGATAAACACTTCCAGTACTGTATAACCGATATTAAGCGAAAAATGGGCATTATAGGTTCAGCAAAAAGCAGTAATAAGGCTGTACGCTGTTCATATATTGAGGCAATACTACTTTCAGCAATGTATATAGTCAGAAGAGAATCTCCCTGGAATCACAGTTCGAAGTCGTTGGTGAAGAAGCAACAGGGTGAGTTGATTATGCAATCAAAAAATAATAGATTTATTAAACGAGGAACCTATTTGCATAACCGAAGGGAAACAGAACCAGGAGATCTTGGGTAGATCTTGAGTATTATGCAATATTATGCAACTCAAAAGCTCTTACCACACAAATAAGAGAAAACGAAAGGCGTCTGAAGCTTTTGATGATGATTTTGACTATCTCTACGGGATCGTTACAACAGGTGAGATTTTTTGACCACGGTTGCGCAACATATGATGAGCTAATATTGGATGATATTTATTAACTCTCGTCTATTCTAGCCATAGATTGGTACTTTATCATGTACACGCCAGAAAGAATTTATTGTATGAAGGCCGACTATCACATTGACCTTACTGAGGATATTTTAGATGATGATGCAAAACTTCGTCAAGGAGTGAAGGAGATCATGGGGGTAATTGTAGGTTTGTTGAAAGATAGGGTAGAGGTTAATGACGCTCCAGATAGTAAGAGAGCAAGGACGAAAAAATTTATTAAGGAATGATTTTGCATGCAGGTCATAGGATAGAATTTAGTCATATATCATGGGCAAAGTCCCTCTCATTTATATTTATTTTTCGCATGTAATAATAAAAAAATTTTCTTGGCAAAAGTGATCGACGTGAACAATTAATTGTTCACGCGCACGTGATTTTTTTTATTTGGAGTGTTATCAAATATGTCATCCATGCTGAGGGTTATGAAGACCGTGACATTTGATCAAGCTACTGTCCAAAAAAGATGAAGCTTTGCATGGTCGCCGTTCACTATCTCGCCAACACAAATAATATATGGGGGTAATAACTGATGCAGAAAGAGTAATCTCGTAGAGGAATAGATAGGCGGATAGACGTAGTAAAGTAATAACTCATGTATCACGGGTAGAGATCCGAACTTTTGTATTTATTCCTTGCGTGTATCAAATGAAAAATTTTTAGTACAACAATCACTGATGAGGAAATACCTCATGGCGTCTTGACTTGAGATTACATGAAGATAAGTGTTCAGGTGAATGTTTATTAGTTCCTGAATTCTCACGTGATTTTTGATCGTGAAGTTTCTTCACGGTTGCACCTATGATGTGATAATGCATGTTCGATATTGGAAAAGCTAAAATGCACTAAGAAATAAATCTTTGATCACAGGGCAGAGTGGAAAATTCGACTTCTCACATACTCGAAATCAGTGAAAAAATGTATAATTATTGGTCCTTAAGTAGCTTTATTTTATTTAGCATAGAACTATCATGTATCGCGGGTAAAGTCCCGATCTTTGTATTTATTAATTTTTCTGACGCGTTACTTTCTGAATCATGCAATTTATTTACTACATCAATAAAGAATTCAGCCAAAAAGGCTATACATTGTATCAAGCGTGGGATATAGAAATGTATGGTAAATAAAAAAAGTGAGACCTAAAGTCCCACTTGGATCACTTGGATAAGGTTCTATATGAAGTAACGTGTATCCCGGGAACCAGTGTTGGGCGAGAAAACCGGCTTCCTGACAATATGAAGTAGATTCATCGGCTTGAAGACAAGTGTCCGAGCGATTTTTCCCAACACTGCCAGGAACAAGTAATTGCATGTAATTTATTCTCGGACTTTCCCGCATATGCTCAAAGCTTTACGTATAACAAAAAAGACCTCCCTGTTGATCTTTGTATATGGGTAGCGTTTTATTATAATTTTAAGCGGATCTGTTGATCAGATTTTCGGATCTTATTAACGTAATTTCCCCGGCCTCATGCAAGTAAAATAAAAATCGAACGAAACTAATCAAACAAATATAACTTACTTTTGCATCGTATCATCAATCAAACGAACGGGTATATTTTGCAAAATAATAGCAAGGTATGTTGCGACTAGATTCTAAAAAAAACGTCATCACGACGATAATATAGATGTACAAAGCCAACAAGAAAATCATAACCGTCAAAACGTGTCTAATTGGCGCAGTTGTGGATAGGAATTGGTTCGGAAATTAGCATTAGATAGCTCTCATTTATGTTAGAGTTCGAGACCGCTACTTCAATAACATTGATAATTAACTTTTAAAATGTATTGACTATACAATTTTAATAAAAAATTGTTAATTAAGCATCTTTATTGATAAAAAAATATATAGTAAAATACAAAGATCTAGTTATTTTTTTTTTTGCCTGGTTTTGATCAAATTATCAACTTTTGCATGATCAACATGTTTAGCATTATCGGAATTCTCACTTTCTCCTTCACTGTCAGATCTCGCCCTAATATCAACGTGTTGTACTACTTCTTTCCTTATGATCCGATCAAGATCTGCTATTATAAATTTCAGGGCATCGTTTTTGAAGGTGATATCCTTTGTGTCTGGAAGTATCCATCTATGATACAACTTATTATGAGTTCCGGAAGAGAAGATATGGTATCCTTTGTTTTGTGCAAATTTGATATATAATTTACACAAATAACAACAATACTTAGATACCGCTATAAACACCGGTCGTTTATCTTTTTGGTCTATAATATTGGTCAATATGTTCATTTCAGCATGTAAACATAAGCGTTGTACAATTTCTTCGTTGTCCAATCGTGGATTTTTTTTATTGTCTGTCCCATATATCTCCTCTAATTTTTTCAATATAACATCATCATGCAAACATATTTCCTTGAATTTGTTATACTCTCCGGTAGTACGAATAACCATTTTAATAATCTTCGACCATGAAAAGATGGGTTGATTAACCATATTGGGTTTCAACGTAACCACATCCATATTAGAAAATTGGTTTTGGTACTCTTTCTTACAGGCGCATGCTGTGATATCGACCAAAGCCGAATAGTAAGATCCCACCTTTTTGAGATGTCTTAGAAATTTTTTCGGGATTGCAGGATTATCTTTGACTGTTTTATAATACCTGCTACAAATCCCAGATATTTCGTATCCATCTACTTCATTTACGTCCTTAATATTAGCAAATTTTGTGAAAGATAAAATATGTTGATTTTGTGGTCTAATTATATCCTCCTTGAGTTTACGAAGTCTAGATTCGAACTTATCATAACAGTAGTCCATTATATCTTCAAATAAATCCCCTACATCACTTCTTTCATATGCCTTATCCAACGCTATGGGAGCATCTTTAGATATACTTTTAACATGTTTCTTGATTTTTTTGATATATTCACCATCATTTTTGTTCCAAATTGTGTTTTTAGAAAGATAAACAACACATTTATCGGTAAAAAGTTTCAATCCCACTGCTACCACTTCATTGTCTCTTGCCAATATTGTTGCTAGATTACAAGAAAATTTTTCATCCACATCCAGCTTTCTTTTCTCTTCCTCTCTTTCTTCGCTAACGACAAACTTGATACTTCCGGCAACACACACTTTACTGTACAATTCTTGCATTTTTTTCTTGTTTGCCATTCTGGTATCTGTATTTATAAGCTTTTTATATAGAAAGTATTTTTGTAAATCGTACTGATCGGGCTTTATCAGGATATGATATGTTCGTGTAACATTACTCTCAGATGACGTTACATATTCGACAAAAAAAATATGACGAAAACGTAATTAAGATATGCTGGCTGTTCAGGATTTCGAAAGATAAATTTTTTTTCTAAGGTAAATGTTTATTATTTCTGACACTGCATGTCTCATATAAGTATAACTGACGACCGTTTTGGTTTTATCTAGAATATCGATGATTGGGACAATGGAGTGGGATAATGTATACTAGTAGTAGGCAAGCGAAAAACTGGTGTGCATTAGTATGAAAACTATTTCACTTTGTAATGTATTACCGAATCTTGTAATTTATTTTTTCCATCAATAAATCAGTAATTCCGATGAGGATATTACCTCGTTTTTTATCTATGCTAACGAACTTTTGAATTATTCCATCTTATATAAAAAATTATTATCGAACATGCAATCCATTGATTCATTGAGAGAATCAAATTCCAAGCTCTTAGCTGAGATTGCCGAGCTTAGGAAGGTGAATGCTGAGATTCCTGAACTTAGAGAGAAGTTACTAAGAATTGCTGAGGTTGAGGTTGAGAATGCAAGGCTGAAGCAAATTATTGAAAAGAGTGCAAGGCGTGATGCTGAGAATGCTGAACTCAAGTCTAGAGTCGGAGAGCTTGAGGATAGACTTGCATTATTAGAACAGGGTTCAGCAGTGGATGGGATGGCGTTGTCATTCAGTCAGACACAAAATGAAGAAGCGTTGCCAATGGTGATGGTACCAACTGTTGATGTACCCGATTCTGTAATAGACTGACTCAATAATGAAGTAGGATGAGCATCTTGTGATCTTGATGGTAACGATGAGGAAATGGTCGATTTCTTGGATAAGGCGTATAAGGAAAGCATTAGCAATGAGATTAGAGAGAGGAGGCGGGAAAAGAAGCAGAGAGATCAAGAGGCACTTGTAATTTTTCAGGACGTGACTAAAATTCCTGAAGTTACAGACATGTTAACTTCAGAGCAAGACGAGCAAGACTTATCACAATCTTGTGAAGCTAGTTCTGAGAGCATAAGATCAGCATCTTGCGTCCTATCAAAGCAACCGCAAGTTAATGCATTTAAATTAGCGTGTAATCTTGAAAACTGTGAAGATTCTTCACGATCAGAGTCATGTTACATAGAGGAACTTCAGCATGATGAAGTTATTGCCAAGTTGGATAAAAATATAATTGTAGAACAAAAGTTAAAGCAACAGTTATCGTCACCTATACATAAATTTACGTCAGATCAAACTTCAGAAGAACAGGATCCATCTTCAAATACCGCACAAAATATAGTTTGCATGTTCAGGAAAACTAATAAGCTTGGTCAAGAAGCAATTTTATACTGGTGCTTCTTTATAGAAAAATATGATAAAAGTATTGATAACCTTGTTGCTGGTGGAGTTAAGAAAAAAACTGCAACATCTATGGTATATCAAAAAATCAAACAGCTTTTACCTGATATAACAGGTATGAATTTGCATTAAAAAATCCATAGGGCTAGAAAATTATATAAATTATTCAATACATTAGGAATAGAGAAAATTAAACAGGTCTCTTATAGTGCAGATGCTATTTAGAGCCTCAGTTACCCACAAATACAAAATATTATAGATCATGTGAATTAAGTAACAAGTCCACACAATGAAACAGTGAAGATTCTTCACGATCAGAGTCATGTGACTTCAAAAATTAATCTGACTAATGCATATATTCCTCCAAAAGCTAAGGTAAGTACATCAGCAAATGAATTATCTGCATCCCAATCTAAGCCAACTTATGACTGATCCTATTTTCGCAATAAGATAAGATATTGGATCAATATCCTAATCTATATAGAGAATATAGTAATGAAAATTTTGATTATTATGGGATTACTGATGAGACATCATGCGGGGTCTCAAGAGAGACCATCTGCCTATTATGCAAATTAGATCATGATGATGAAGAAATAGAAGGTAGGTATAAAATCAGATCTTACTTTATCAAATGTGAACAACGTGAAATTGAGATAACTGCATAGTCCTCCCTGCTCTATGAGTGTGGGAGACGATCTAACTATTTTTTTTGGAAGTATGATAAGGAATATTAGACAGCTTTCTATCTGAAAATTTTTAATCTTTTTTCGAATTGATGAGAAAAAAAGGATTTAAATTGATTTGCAATCATATAAAAAGGCAATATGAGCAAGTCCGATAAATCATTAACCCCTGAGTATCTGGATTGGCATACCAAATTAAGTGGATTACCAAGCATTTTGACAAATAAGATTCATTCCAATTTATACAAAAGATATAAAAAAGAAACTGGAAATAAACTATGGCAATTATCAGAAGCTGTGATAAATACATCAGCAAAGCCTCAGACCTCTAATTTCAAACCCATTACTTTTGAAGCCAGACCTGATCCAGAATTAATTATCAATTCTATCTTAGAGCACTTCCCATACTTGAAATTCCGAAATAGTTTTAGAGGGATTGATAATTATAATTTTGCATCACCTCAACTATGAAGCTCACCATGTCCTATTTGCAATGGAAAACATGGGAATTATGGATTACATGGCGAATGGTATGGAACAGAATATTGTCTTACTTGCTTCACTTCAAGCAATAAATTCAAATTCGTGATTGTGACTTAGACCAGTCATGTGAAATCGATCACCTAAAAAATGCGCAGTACGATATCATTGCTGAAAGAATAAGGGCTGTATGACGTGTAAATTGACAACATTGAATAATTCCCATTGTGAAAAAAATAATATCAACCATGTCAGTTACTCATTAGAGCTTGATTTATTGAATCTTCGCATTTTTTATTAGATCAAACCTGAGTTCATCGTATTCGAAAAGATTTAAACCTTTCACAGGATGGGCTAGAGCATCCAATAATGCGTTGTGTTCTAATACACCAAATGAATTAGATCTAGAAAATGTGATAAATAATCCATTTTTTGCTTGATCAGATATATTAGGAAGGCGCATGGTAAATAGCCTAAGAAGGATAAAACGTTGACGAGCTTCTCAGTCTCGATAAAGCTTTTTCCAAACATTACCAAAATCTTTTTTATAATTCCATCCGTCATATGATTTGCTAAAAAACACATCATCATCTTCGATGTCATTATTGAACAGCCAGAACTCATCATCATTATCATACTAAAATAGCACCTCTGGCTCAGTATCGACGCCTAACCCAAATTTATTATTACTATCACTAGGACCAGAAATGATTAGTAAGCTTTGTTCTATAGCTAGAGAGATATTTATTAAGATATAATTATCTTTAATTTACGTTCAAAAACCTCTTCACCTAGTCGAGCCAGAACAATTCTTCAAATCAGACGCTAAAGCATAAGCAGTATCATGAATGTTTGGTCACGGTCCAGTAACTGCCTAGGTGAATTTTATACGTAGAATTAAAATATTATTTCTTTTTTCGAATTACGTGGGTGGCTTAGATACAGCGTTGCGTAGTATATCAGTTCATGTGAATTATAATTACAGATAAGTGCAGTCGTAGCATACATTCCCAATCCAGCTAATCTGAGCGAAAATCACATCGGATATTTCTTAACAAAATCATTAGTTCTGTGTAATGGTATTTACGTATGTCATTATATTTTCAGTACATCTACCTTTTTTTGAAGAAATACAAAAAAATCTTTTCAATGAGAACAGTTACAGAAAGTAAACTTGAATAGGCTATAAAAGGAAGAGCTTGTTGGTATTAGCAATAAAAATTACATGTGTGGTAACGTGAAACCTTTGCAATTCCTATTTGCATCTTGTGCAGAAATCTTCATACCAAAAGGGGTATAATTTCCTATACCATAGGCTGAGGAAACATTTGGCGTACAACAGGTTTATCGTGAGAAAGGGCTTTGAAATTAAAATTGAAATATAAATACGCAAGATTTATCATAAGCAAGTTTCGTCTATCTCCTGAAAGATGAATATTCCTTCGCTTTTAGTCTTTGAAAAATATGATGAAAATGCCGTTATCGAGTTCTTGGGAAAATATCAGCCAAGATATACCGAATTTTATGAAAAATTCAAAGAGCAGGTTGTTATTGGTGATAATTTTATGTGTTTAACTGAAAATTGTCTTAAAAAAGATCCTTTTAACTTTCCTGTTAGAGCGATTATGACAATCATAAAAGTAATTCGAAATCTTAAATAGCAAGACCAAGGTGAGTTTGCATGAAGTCTGGGAATATTTTCTCTTACAGCGTCTTGATTTCTGAAAAAATTGATATTATCATAGTAAATGATGAGATCGATGAATTGCTCATTCAAGCCTTTGATAAATTTAATGTAAAAGAAATAGCTCCAGGTAATTATTGTATTGCTGTGCGATTTTTTTTTCACTTTGTATTCCAGTATGCAGGAATAGATTATAATTAACAATCTACATGTGCAGAAACCCACGAAGGCTATTCAGAATCAAAACTAAAAGAATTATGCGAGAGAAAAATATTCTATAGAACTGGCAGATTATACTACAAGAGAAAATTCGGTTCACAAGCAGACTATAAAATCGTTTCTTGTTTGTGCAGGATTGAAGAAGTTTGTAACGATGGTCTTTCAGTTATTATTCATATTAATAATAAGAAAAGGTTGAGTCCGAAATGTGATAGTTTGTGAAAGCTTAAAGAGTAGATTCTAAAAGAAATCTATGCAATCGACAATGATAAAAGCGTGTCTGAAAATCAGTGGCCAAAAAATAGACCAGATAAACCCTTCAATAATTTTGTTTACTTCCATCCTATGACTCTATATTTTTTGAAAAAATACATGGACAACCAAACCGATAATGCCTAAGAATTTGTTGTTTAGTAATAAATCATGTAATCGAGTGATCTGGTTACGCATATCCTAATAAAATCCATCAATGACGACACACATTTTTACCACATGTACAGTACAAAGAGGAATATCATATTTTTATTAATCACCGCCATTTACGCGTGAGAAGTATACAAAATACATGGATAACATATTGTTCGAACTTTTCACTCGTTAAATCCATGTGAATATGTCATGAATTTTTTGAAATAATACTGTAGTAATACTGGCCAATAAAAGCATTTTGCGTAGTTTGCGTTTTCTTGAAAGTTTTTTCCAAACTAACCTTTCTTTTTCTGAATTTATAAGAAAAAAGGACGACCTGATCTAGTTGACCTTAATGATTCTAAGACTAGCGAAATACAGTATTGACGTCTCTTAATTCCCAGACACCGCAATAATACGTCACTGGTTCATGTGAATTATATCCGCAGAATAAGCTATGCGCAGTAAACGTCACCGACATCCGCAATCATTATTTTTAGAGGATCTATTAATAACCCCAGCCAAGAGAAATATTTTTGTGTTACTATACTTATGAACTTTTCCCAGAATTCTATCTCACTCATTACGCAGTTCTGAATTACTAATAAAAAAACACATCCTGATTTACATGCTGATCGTAAGACAGGGCGTCATTAAAAAGAAATTCAAAAATGGAAATAGAGCCGATTAGAATCTATGATTTACAGATCATCAGATAAACGGTATATTTTTATTATCCTACTGACGTTAGCGCATTCAAATTACGTGTACAGGTTAATCACATATTAATCTGTTTTGAATAGGAATTAGTTATACATGTGCGATTCGTCATCTACAGACCTCGATCCATTTCATTTTATATTCCTTTTTGTGATTACAATTGAAATAGTAGTTCTGAACTCAAACAAAGATGCCCACATGCGATCTTCTATTTCGCAAGAGATCTTAGAAATAAACGAAAAATTTTGAGACACAGCCTTGCTCCATTAGTATCACATTAAGTTGTCATAAAACCGTAATTCTTCAGATTTTCTTTTAAGCGCTATTATTGCAATTCAGTTTGTTATTATTGAATGGGATCCAGGCCGTTATTATTGCTTTAGCTGAAAAAAAAATATAATCATGAAAAATGTAGTTATGACAAATACACATAATAAAGCAACATAGTTTTTATTAAATCGGGTTAAAGTCTCTTTTCACACGTAGTAGGCATACAGTATAAAATGAGCCTTTTTCCCAACGCATTTACGCAAGAGAATTGCATATATATCTAAAAATCAAGCGATATTATCTAAAAGAATTCTGATTTGATCTACCAATAAAAACTCAATAAAATTACTACGCATCACTCTATCTACATCATGTCTAGTTTGAAATTATTCAACTCTTCAGAAAGCATGTCATTTTTGGCCTTAACCACTGTTTTTTCGTTTGTTATTTCGGCGATATTCATGGGGATCGTTACCATGTGAATGATTCTCAAACAAAAAATTTCCGATGAAATCTCTGCACATAATATAAAATTTAATACGTCTATTACTACAGAGGTCACCAAAATTAATTAACACTAAAATCGCAGATGATCTCTCCTTACGTGATGGGAATATTACTGTTGAAATCGAAAGAATCCTTAACACTAAAATCGCCAACGAACTTTCCGCACGTCTTTTTGAAGTTAATTCTACTTTTACTGCGAAGCTTGTCAGAAACAATAATGAACTTAATAAGAAACTTACCAGAGAAATCGCTAAAATCAATTCACGTTGTAGAGTCAACATTTTCATTAATTAAGGCGCAGCAATACAAAAGGAAATGATCAACATTACACAGTAAAAATTACA